TCTCATCTTTGGTCAGTTCATCGACCCTCTGGTTGTTCTTCAGACTTAGTCATTTTGCATTAAGCCTTCCATCGGCCTTCTGGTTCTTTATCACTTGTTTGTCTTCATTACTTCCATACATAAGACGTATGGGGTCTTACAATCTCCCCCTAAGTAATGAAAGAGCAAACATAAACTATTCTATGAACATTTAAAGTATAAACGAAGAACAAAGGCTATTCTAAAGAAAAACATCTTTTGCCAAATTTTCATTCGAACAAAATGATGAATTCTTACAGTGATGGAATGAAAGATATTACAATACAAAACATGAGTAAAACTACATTCATGGTCTCCCTTGTGATATTTCCCAAAAGCGCATTAACAGTTCTCTGTATTGAATGACTGTAGAGATCTCATGAATTAGTCTCTGTCCCTCTCCCATCAGCACATGAGGTCTGCTTAACCTGTCTCTGATGACAATATAAAGCCATTCAAGTGTTTCACTTGAGTACTTGAAGGCTTTAGTTAGTCTGGAAAACTTTTTAGTTCCAAACTCATTTTTGAAAACCAGATCAAGTTCTGGTTGGGTTAATACAGAGGCAGACCTCTTTTCCTATAGGCCAGGAAAGTCTTCATCTGGTGGAGTGCATGATAATATATTGATGCCAAGCCAAAAAGAAATTTCAAAATCGCTCTTGGCTCTATGCTTCACCAAGGTCTCCATCGTCTGTACGATCGCTCTGTTCACCATTCCAAATTGTATGCCCTGATCCTATCGCTGAGTCGTGTATGCATAAAGCTCGATCAAGTCATAGGGATTGATATTGATCAAGTCATTGTCATTGAAGACGCTGATTTGACCATGGGCTCGCTCCACTGTGTACTCGATGTACTTGATGGCTCTGTTGGCGAAGGTCCTCATCTTGATGTCCATGACCAACCTTATTCCATCGTTTGAAAAGACAACCTATGGTGGTTGGGTAGTCTGTCTAACAAACCTATGGCGTAGGAGTTTCATGGATTCTAGAAAAAGTATTGGAGGATTAAAAGTCAAACATCGTGATCATGATATAGATATTGATGGATGTATTCCATCATGATTGGTTCCCTCAACGGTGCCTCTGGACATCTCCTTAGTGACTCCATGTTGGTGATGAATTCATTGACGACCCCTTGAGGAGGGTGCCTCGATGAAGAGGGAACATCTGCTTGTACCTGGGTTGGTTGGGTTGTGGGTTGTGTTTGGGCTAAGGGTTGAGAGTGGATTGGTGATGGAATGGTTTAGGTTGGCATGGATTAGGGTAGCTCTGGTTCATTGGGCTCAGATGGGGTGGTTTCATGTTCATGGGTTTCTGTTTGGGTGGTTTCTGGTTTATTGGGTTGTGTTTGGGTTGGAGGTTGTTGTGGTGATGAAGGTTGGATTATTGTGGGTTCTGGTTGTATGGGTAAGGTGGTGAAGGGTTCTGTGGTGCATGGGTTGGTGTAGGGGTTAAGGGTAGGTTGGGTGTTGGTGATGGAGTGAAAGGTGGGTTGGTTTCTGTTTGTGGGGTTGATGGTTCTTCATCGGATGATGAGCTCAACTCGATAGGTTCTTGGGAGCTGGCGAAGGGAACATGTACATTGTGTACATCTTCAGAGGGCTGAGCCTCTGGTTCCCTCGCTTGGGTTCCTTGAGTTGTTGGTGGTGGTTGGTCTTGTGTTTGAGGTGGTGGTGATGGTGCAACAGATTCCATTTGTTGTGCAGTGGTGGCTTGATTCTCCCCCTCATGAGGACCAAGACCATGATCATCGGGATTTGGATCCTCATGTCTTCACATTTTGAGGGGGCGGCTTGATGAACAGGAGGCTCTGCTCCTATTTTTTCTTCCATAGCCGGATGTGGTCGGCTAGTGTGCGCACTCGATCCATGTTGTGCCGTTATTCCATGGAGCAAAGAAGAGAGTTCCTTCGATCCTGCTGTTGTAAGAGACTCTTCTTCAACGCATTTGTTGGCTCAATCGACCTGGCAGCAAACTTTGCACTTATCTCATTGAACGATGAGATAAGAGCCTTTGACAGAGCCTTGAGATCAGCTCTGGTAGCAAACTCCGTGCTCGATGATGAAGCGGGTGGGGGGCACGATGGTGGATCTGGATGGAGGAATGGGAAGGTTGGCGATGATGTCCTTCAGCTCTGCAGCGAAGGAAGAAAGGGCATCATCGAAGGATGGTACTTTGGTGGGTGGAGGAGGTGGGGGTTGTTGGGGTATTTGGGCTATTATAATGGCTGGGAGTTGGGTTAGGGTGGTTTGGATGGTAGCCATTTGGTTGGAGAGGGAGGTTAAGGTTTCATTGATTGATGAGGTTGGGGGTGGGGTAGGTTGAGGGATTTAGGAGATTATAATGGCTGGTAGGGTGTTAAGGGTTTGGGAGATGGTGTTTATTTGGGCGGTGATGGAGGCTATAGTCTCATCGGTTGCAGATGCTTGGGCCGTGAGGGTGGCGATGGAGTTCATCATAAGTTGGTTTCTTTGGGTGGCAAAGGTGGATGAGGTGTTATGGTGTTGGGTGATGGTTTGTTGTAACATTTGGAGGCGGGTTGTGTTGTCTCTGGTTTGGGATTCGAGGGTTGCAAGGGACTGTCGAATGGGGGTTAGATCGATGGATGGGGGGTTGTCGACAATCCCTTGGATGATGAGTTTTAGGTCTTCCAAGAACCGCTGAATCGACTCGGCAAAGGCTTGGAACTCAGCCTTTCTGACCAGATCAGCCATAGGGGTAACCCTGCAGCAACGGATGCTGCAGGTTGAGCCTCAGCTCTAGAGGCGCCCTATATAACACGCTAAAAAAAATTTAAACCGAAAACATTCAACGAGAACCAGAACTTGATATAAAATTCACCCAACAAAAGGGTAATAGTATGGCGTTTACAATTCAACTACTGAGAAGATAATTAACAACCTACTAATCTAGATCATTCTATATCTAGATTAAAGACGGGTGTTTCTATCAATCTCCAAAAATACCGAAACATCAAAAAAAAAAAAAAAAATAACGCTCAAAAGTAACAAAGGCTATAACTACAAAAGAGCCTTTCACGAACCAACGCTCCCCTCAACCCATTGGATCCTCGCCGCTAAGGGAACCTGACAAATAATTATATCAAGGGAGAGAGAGGGTTAGGCTTACGCCTAATGAGTCCAAACGACAGAATTTAACGTAACCATAGGGAACATATATATATATATATATATATATATATATAAGTAGTTGACGTAACTTTAAACATGAATAGGGACAGTAAGACTTGAATAACTCGAAATGGAAAAATAAAACATCCAAAAATGACTAGGGAGACCCGAATTACCGCTAATTATGACATAACATAAAGTAAGTCATAGATTAACGTTATAGAGCATCACTTATTGGTATAATACCATCGACATCAACCTAAACCATTCATGTAGTCGGTCGTGATCTTACGCTATTCATCTCAGAAATTACATAATAATCACAATGCCTATTTCCGAGTGGGAGTGTGAGGATGATTGGAGATTACATAATAATCACAATGTTGAAATCCAATATACTCCATTTCTTACACAATTATAAAATAAAAACGACTCCCATGCCTTCAAACCCGTTATTCTAAGGGTATACTTAAATGCGTTTACATAAGCGTAAAACCACTTGCACATCACTTAAATTTAATATAAGGCTTCTAAAAAGGTAGAATGAACTCACTAATAGGCAGCGATTGCTGCAGCTGCTGTTGGTCCGAGTACGCATAGGCAGCACCTGCTGCAGCTGCTGTTGGTCCGAGAACGCTGTTGGTCTGATTACGCGCAAGCAGTGCTTGCTGCAGCTGCTGTTGGTTCGAGAACGCGCAGGCAGCGCCTGCTACAGCTGCTGTTGGTCTGATTACGCGCAGGCAGCACTTGCTGCAGCTGCTGTTGGTCCGAGTACGCGCAGGCAGTTGCTGTTTGGGCGACCAGGAAGCGCATAAAAAAACAAAGCAGAGCTACTGTTTTGCGACGATTACAAGGAATCAACGCAGCAGGGCTGCTGTTCGGCGACCGAGACGAAGGAAAAACACAGCAGAGCTGCTGTTGCTGGTGTTTTCCAGCTGTTCGGCAACCGAGACAAAGGAAAAACACAGCAGAGCTGCTGTTGCTGCTGCTTTGCTGCTGTTCGGCGACCGAGACGAAGCAAAAACCCAGCAGAGCTGCTGTTGCTGGTGCTTTGCTGCTGTTCGACGACCAAGACGACGAAAAAACACAACAGAGCTGCTGTTGCTGGTGCTTTGCTGCTATTTGCTGCTGTTCGGCGACCGAGACGAAGGAAAAAACACAGCATAGCTGCTGTTGCTGGTGCTGTCTGGGATGTGGGGAAGTCGAGAAGCAGGAAGGCGTGGCTGGAGGTGAACACTGCGGTGATAGCGGCGCAGGGCGCAGTTCAAGCTGTGCGGCAAGACTGCTCTCCCAAGCACACAAGGCCAGCACCAAATAGCCAAACCGACAGCTGTAGTTGCTGTCCAAATGGGTGATGAAACCAGAAATTCTTCTCACCCTCAAACAGTAGCTTAAGTTGTTCATCACACTATCCTTCTTCACCCAAGAAGGAACCTCTCTCGAAAAGACTCCCTTCTCCCCTTTCTTTTGACAGCACTCATACCCCCCTTTTTCCATTTAGACAAAAGGTAAAGACCTATAGGAGAAGAAGAGATCCTTTAAAAGAAAAAGAAAACCAAAGGTTGGGGCCTTAGGCTGCAGCTACCCCCTCCCCCTTTTCCCTTTAAAAAAAAAAAGAAACTTAGCTGGGAACAACTTTCTCTTATCCTAGTACCTATATATATATAATACACATATATTTTCAAAGTAGGCTAAAAGAAATGTTCCAAACTTTTAAATATAAACGAGAATATAATTCCTCAACGACGGGAAGAAAACTCCGGTTGCGAACAGAAAAGAGAATGGGGAGGAATTTCGGGTGTTACAATCCTCCCCACCTTGGATTAAATTTCGTCCTCGAAACTTTGGCTTACGCAAAAAGTTGGGGGTAACATCTCTTCAAATCCTCTTCCTCTTCCCATGTTACGTTTGATCCTCGATGATGCTTCCATTGAACTTTTACCAAAACAACCTCTTTGTGCCTCAGCACTTTGGTCTTTCTTTCCAAGATGGCTTCCGGTTCTTCAACACATCGGTTGTCCTCGTCCACACGAATTTTCGTAAGTGGTATCACACTTTTTTCTTCCTCCAAACACTTGCAAAGGTAACACATATGAAATGTGTTATGGATCCTGGCCATTTCGGGTGATAGTTCTAGTTTATAAGCTTGAAGTCCCACCCTAGCCAAAACCTTAAAGGGTCGAAGGAAACGGGGACTTAGCTTCCCACGCTTTCCAAAACGGATAATACCCTTCCAAGGGGACACTTTTAGCATTACACGGTCACTCACTTGGAATTCCATAGGTCAGCTCCTCTTGTTTGCGTAACTCTTTTGTCGATCTTGAGCCACCTTTAAGCGTTCCCGAACACATTTCACCTTGTCGGCCGTTTCCTGAACGATTTCGGGATCGGAGAATTGTTTCTCACCCACTTCTAGCCAACACACCGGAGTCCTACATTTCCGACCATACAAAGCCTCAAAAGGTGCCATCCCGATACTGGAATGATAGCTATTGTTGTAGGCGAACTCCACCAGGGGTAGGTGAGAATCCCAATTCCGCCAAAGTCGATAACACACGATCGAAGCATATCTTCAAGAGTTTGAATGGTACGCCGTACTCAACTTTACTCTCGTACCCAATTCTTTTGCAAGCCGCCCCAGAAATGGGAGGTGAATCGGCTATCTCGATCTGACACTATCGACAATGGTATACCGTGCCTCAAGACTACTTCATCGATGTATAACTTGGCAAGTTTGTCTATTGGCAACGATTCTTGCATTGCCAGGAAATGAGCGCTCTTTGCCAGTCGGTCCACCACTACCCATATCGTATCATGGGCTCTTAAGGTCTTCGGTATTTTGGTCACGAAATCCATCGTGATATGCTCCCATTTCCACTCAGGGATCTCTAAGGATTGAAGGGTACCATAAGGTCGTTAGTGCTCCGCTTTCACTTGCAAACAAGTCATGCACCTCTCTACATAACGAGCCACATCTAGCTTCATAACCGGCCACCAATATGTCAGTTTCAAGTCCAGATACATTTTGGTGATGCCTGGATGAATTGAGTATTTAGATTTGTGTGCGTCTTCTAGTAACAGTTCACGATTGCCTCCAATCCTAGGTACCCATATACGTCCTCGAAATAGATTCAAGCCACGACCATCCTCTGTCAACAACATGTGTGGTTTCATCATTAATTCACTCTTGAGATTTTCTTCCAGGAGCGCTTCAGATTGCGCGACCTTGATCCGATCGATCAGACTGGACATTATATCGATCCTGGTAAGCACAGTTTTTGTCCCACTACCGTACTCTTTTTGGCTCAAAGCATCCGCCACTACATTTGCCTTACCCGGATGATATAGCAATTCACAATCGTAGTCCTTGAGCAGCACAAGCCAACGTCGTTGCCTCATGTTTAGTTCTTTTTGATCAAAAATATACTTCAAACTCTTGTGATCCGTAAAAAGCGTGCACTTGGTACCATAAAGGTAATGGCGCAAAGCTTTAAGGCGAATACCACCGCCGCTAATTCCAAATCGTGGGTGGGATAGTTCTTCTCATGATCTTTGAGTTGTCTTGAGGTGTAGGCAATCACTTTTCCCCTTTGCATCAAGAAACAACCCAACCCCATTTTTGAAGCGTCACTAAAGACTACAAAGTCTTCGGACCCCTTCGGCAGGGAGAGAATCGGGGATTCACACAACTTCTTTTGGAGAGTTCTGAAGGCATGCTCTTGCTTCTCCATCCAGATAAACATCACATTCTTCCTAATCAAAGCCGTTAAGGAGGAAGCAACTTTGGAGAAATCTTGGATAAATCTCCTATAATATCCTGCCAGACCCAAGAAGCTACAGATTTATGAAGGACTCATTGGTGGTTCCCAGTTCATCATCGCCTCGATCTTGGATGGGTCTACCTTCACCTCGTCTCGAGTGACAACATGACCAAAGAATTGAACCTCCTTCAACCAAAAATCGCACTTGGAGAATTTTGCATACAACTTCTCGTTTCTTAGCATTTTGAGGACCTCCCGAAGGTGTTGTTCATGATCCGACTCGTCCTTGGAATAGACGAGTATGTCGTCAATGAACACTATCACTGACTTATCAAGAAATGGTCGGCACACTCGGTTCATCAAGTCCATGAATATCGCCGGTGCATTCGTCAATCCGAATGGCATGACCAAGAATTCATAGTGCCCGTATCGAGTTCTAAAAGCTGTCTTTGCCACGTCATCTTCTTTCACACGTACTTGGTGGTACCCTGAGCGAAGATCGACCATCAAGAAGCAACTTGCTCCCTGAAGTTGGTCGAAAAGGTCGTCGCCTGGGGAGAGGATACTTGTTCTTTACAGTTGCCTTGTTGAGTCCTCGGTAGCCAATACACATCCTCATGGCGCCGTCCTTCTTCTTTACAAATAAGACCGGAACTCCCCACAGTGACAAACTCGGTCTAACGAATCCCTTCTCAAGAAGGTCTTGCAACTGAGATATCAATTCTTGCATCTCGGAAGAGGCCAGACAGTAAGGTGCTTTAGCAATTGGAGCAGTTCCCGGAATAAGGTCAATTTGGAACTCCACTTGTCTAACGGGTGGTAAACCGGGCAAGTCTCCCGGAAATACGTCGGGAAATTCGATAACCACCTTCATGTCTTCAATTTTCCTTATCTCTAGCTTGGTGTTAAACATATACGCAATGAATGAGGAGCATCCCTTAGCTAGTCACTTACATGCCTTCGCCATGGATAAGAGTACTACATTCCCTTTCCTTCCTTTTCCATAAGCTAGCACTGCGTCCCCGCTCGTCAAAGGAATTCGGATAAGCTTTTTAGAGCATAAGATTTCCGCTTGGTTCTCAACTAGACAATCCAGCCCGATTATGATATCGAATCCGCCTATAGCCATCGGTATGAGGTCCACCCGAAATTCCTTTCCTTCAATCCCCAGAACACAACCTCTAACAATTTTGCGCACCAAAACTTGACTACCATTTGCTATCTCTATGATTAATGCATCTTCTAGTGTACTAGGTGGCGTATGCAATTGTTGATAGAATGCAGTGGACATAATGGAACATGAAGCACCCGAATCAAAAAGTACGTGAGCAGGTACAGAGTTAACAAGGAACGTACCCGATACTACATCCGTCGACGCCTTAGCTTCTTCTCTCGACATCTGAAAGGCTCGACCGGTTGATTTCAGGGCGCCCTCTTTTCTTCCTTGACTCCCACCTGTTTTCAACTTTTGGCAATCATCCTTGAAATGGCCCAGTTCCCCGCATCCAAAACATATGGGTCCCTCGATTGGACACTCGTTTCGCGTGTGGCCTGCCTTTCCACACTTAAAGCATTTGGTGGGGGTAGAGTTGGTGCTACACGGGCCGTGATGTTTTCTGCGGCACTTGGGACACCATCTTGTCTCTTATTTGGGATGGGCTCCGCGATTGTTGTTGCCAAAGTGGTTTGGCCTTTTGGATGGTCGTAGGGCCCTTCCCACTTCCTCTTCTCACCACTCGACATTCTTTCTTCTTTTCCCTTAACATAAACCGATTCCAAAACTTTGGCTTCTTCGATTGCCTCCCTGAGGGTGGAAGCTCTTGAGTTCCTAACCATTACCATCATGTCTGCAGGTAGCCCTTTAAGGTAGGCTTTCATCTTATCTTTCTTCGTTGGGGCCACCTGTCCCACCAAGTTTAGTTTTTCCATGAAGAGTCGGGTGTAGTCCCTTACTGATAAATTTCCCTTCTTCAGGGTTCAGAATTCTTCTTCGATGCGATGCATCTCTTGTTCATTGCAATATTCTTCCATTACTTTTTCCTTGAATGTGGTCCAACTTATCTTGGACAATTCTGTAACATCGATGGTCGAGATGACAATGTTCCACCAGGTAAGAGCTGCACCCCTCAGCATTTGAGAGCCAAACTTCACTTTTTCCCCTCGTCACAGTCACAAGCCCGGAAGGCTTGCTCGATTTCCCGAAGCCATTTCATGCACGCCATGGGATCGTCCGACCCCACAAGTTCCGATGGCTTGCAACATATGAAGGTCTTGTAAGAGTAAATTCTATCCATTTGTCTCGCCTCAATCATTGCTAGCTCCTGGGTTGGAATTCCATTTCCCGTACCTCCGGATCCCACAATAGTCACGTTTTCGGCAACCGCTTCGTGCTTACGGTTATTGACATCTCTATCTTCCAATAACTTCATAAAGAACTCTTGTTGCTGGGCATTTCTCTGTTCATAGCATTCATCATTGATCCCATCATTCTTGATTCCAGGGTTTCTTCTTCCATTACGGGATTAGAGGTGGCAAGGTCGACTTGGGGAACGTGGTCAACTCCACCGCCCAAGATGTTTTGTCTAGGATGAAATCTTGCGATGGTGGTTCATAGCGGTTGATCCGCGGTAGATTCAGTCACCGCATGACCTTCCGGTGAGGTATCCCGTCTACTCCGAGTATTAACCATTTTAGTCTGCCATATAAGAGAGTGAAAGAGAGTTATGATAGGACGAACATGGGATTAACATAATACATACTGATACATTCATAAATTGTTGTAATAACACTAAGTTCAAGCACGCTTGTGTAATAACTTACGCAAAATAGCATTAGCTAAGTGAAACTTTGAATAGGTTATACATAAGAATTCTTAACACCATCGTCACAATTCATGAACGGGGTAACTCCGATGACCCTAGTGCTCTCCTATCTTAAAAGTTTCTACCCACATCTCACAATTAACACTTACAATCTTAGCTTAAGTCTAGGCGTCATGATCTCTTACCTAGTTCACTTAAACTAGTGCTCTGATACCAACTTATAACACCCAATTTTTTTTAACCGAAAACATTGAACGAGAACCAGAACTTGATATAAAATTCACCCAACAAAAGGGTAATAGTATGGCGTTTACAGTTCAGCTACTGAGAAGATAATTAACAACCGAGTAATCTAGATCATTCTATATCTAGATTAAAGACGGGTGTTTCTATCAATCTCCAAAAATACCGAGACTTAAAAAAAAAACAACGCTCAAAAGTAACAAAGGCTATAACTACAAAAGAGCCTTTCACGAACCAACGCTCCTCTCAACCCATTGGAGCCTCGCCACTAAGGGAACCTGACTAATAATGATATCAAGGGAGAGAGAGGGTTAGGCTTACGCCTAGTGAGTCCAAACGACAGAATTTAACGAAACCATAAGGAACATATATATATATATATATACATATATACATATATATAAGTAGTTGACGTAACTTTAAACAGGAATAGGGACAGTAAGACTTGAATAACT